CAAGAACAGTGGGTCCTTTTCATATATATGAGCACTCAGTACAATGATCAAAGTTGCCATAAAACACTTGAAGTCAGAATGGGGCAGGGAGCTCTAGTAAGAAACTGCAGTAAAGTGCTTTTTTTATGGCGACTTTGATGGAGTCATACATTTTCCTAGGAATTAATACCCAGGAGACAAGTTCAGATATGCCAGGGCATCCTGAGACAAAGGCTTAATACTGATCTTGGGTGGTAGTGTCTCCTTAGTAACCATGGTGATATTGGATGAGCTTATACACTACATGTTGGAAATGCCTTAAGAATGAGTCAATAATGAATCTCTTGCCTTTGGTGAAACTGGGCTGAAATATTTCAAAGTCAGATTTGGAAATCTATGCTTGAAGACTTCAGAGTCACAGAAGTTTCAGCTAGAGTTGATCAAAGAAAAAAACAACCCTCAACCCATCATTAAAAAAAAAAAAAACACACAACAAATATAAAGGCCAATGACTCTCAGGAGCAAGTCAGATTTCTTAATGGGATTGGGTAACCAAAATCCTCTGATTTCTCAATGTTACAACTATATCCAAGGGTTATGTGCAAAATCCTTCTGCTTAGAGGTGGATAGGATATGTGTAGATTCTGTGAATGAGTTCATTATTAATCATTCTAAGATGGTCTGATTTTTCTAATAGGGAGAAAATAATGTATTACCTTAATATCCTACGGCAACTTCTGGGTCTCAGGAAAGAAACATCTCCCTTCTCTTTACTCATCCACTCCCCCACTGCTCTCAAGTTCCTCTTGCTGATAAAACCCATTGTTGTCAAGTCGATTCTGACTCATAGTGACCCTATAGGACAGGGTAGAACTGCCCCACAGGGTTTCCAAGGAGCACCTGGTGGATTTGAACTGCTGACCTTTTGATTAGCAATCAATCGCTTTAACCACCACACCACCAGGGTTTCCCTTTTGCTGATAGAAGATGGAAAAAGTAGAAGGCATCATTATACTTTTTACTATCCAAGATGGCGGCTTCTGCAAAAGGGAAGTGGATCTCTGGTATTTTACTTTCTGTAGTGTCTTTAGGAGTCCCTGGGTAGTGCAAAGAGTTAATGTGCTCAGCTGGAACCAAAAGGCTGGAGGTTCAATTTCACCCAGAGGCACCTTGGAAAAAAGGCCTCGTGGTCTACTTCTGGAAAATCAGCCATTGAAAACCCTGTGGAACAATTTCACTCTGACACACATGGGGCCACCATGAATTGGAACTGACTTGGCAGCAACTGGTTTTTCTATTGATGTTTTTTTCCAGTGGGTTCATTTACTGGTATTCTCTCCCTCCAATCTAGGCCCTTCAAGCAGGAGAAGAGGGGGTCTCTCTACTGCTAACTGCATAGACACAGTTGTTAACTGCCTGCTATGTTCAAAGGAAAGTGCTGGGCACAAAAAGTATAAGCTATATATCTTTAAAAAATGGAACTTAGATAGGATTTTGATGATAGAGATTCCCATTTATTGACCATAGGAAATAAGTAGAAAAGATTATTTTTCATTGTCTACTTTTGGAAGAAAAACAAAACCATAAATCCAGACAAAAGCCTTCATTGCTTTCCTGTATCCTCCCCATTGCAAAGGGAGGATTTGGCTTCGTCTCGTCTTAGTTTCTTAGTGCTGCTGTAACACAAATGCCACAAGTCAGTGGCTTTAACAAACATCATTAAGTTTCTCACAATTTAGGGGACTAGATATCTGAATTTAGGGCATCAGCTCTAAGGGAAGGCTCTCTGTCAGCTCTGGGGAAGTATCTTTGTCTCTTTCAACTTTAGTCCTTGGTTCCTTGGTGATCTTCATGTGGCATCTATCATCCCTGTTTGTCCTTGCTTCTGTGCCTAATCTCCTCCTTTTATATCTCAAAAGTGACACACCCAACACTCTTATGGCCTCATTAATCATAACAAAGAAAACTCTATTCCCAGATGGGATTATATCCACATGTATATTAGTTAGAATTTATAACATGTATTTTGGGGGACACAATTCAATGCATAACAGCCTCTATAACAAGTAAACCATTATTTAAAATTGAGGACAATGTAGTATACACAATTTTACGGGAGAAGGGTGAGCATATCCCAAATGCTCTAAGAAAAATAAATCTTATAGAATCTAGTAAACTTCTTACTCTCTTGTTGAACAATTACAGGACAAAGTATTTGAAAGACTAATTTTTTTAACCTATCATTAACAATAAAAATGACAGAAGACCTTGTGAAATTCTCATATAGAGAGATCATTCTGTTGTATTACAAGGCCAACCTACAAATAAGTCAGCGCAGAGTCAAGCATAGTGGTTCTGTATCCCCTGGGCAGTTTCTTCTTCTAGGAAATAGTCTAAAATAAAATGCTATCAGTTTTTGGGTAGTGAATGATGGATCTGGTGTAATTTCTTGACCTAACAGATTGCCATTGAGTTGTTTTAGACTCATGACGACCCCAAGTGTGTCAGAGCAGAACTGTCCTTTATAGGGTTTTCAATGGCTCATCTTTCAGAAGTAGATCCCCAGGTCTTTCTTCTGAGGCACTTCTAGGTGGAATCAAACCTCCTTTCAGTTAGCAGCCAGGCGCATTAACTGCTGCATCCCCCAAACCAGCCTGATTCTACCTCAGCCCCAGAAAAGTGGGGAGGAAGTGAAGAGTGGCTGTGTCAGTATGTGGGGGCTGGGGAGCTTGGGGAAGTTCTGTTTCAGTTTACCCCACTTGCAACTGGTTCCAGAGAGCTAGAGTTTAATAAAATGTGATCCTTCTCATTGGGACTCCCAGGAGGTGGGGGAAGAAGAGGTGAGGAACAAGGCAAACGACATTCTTCAAGATGAGAAGCTGTGTCTGGGAAAAGCAGGTTATTCAACCTTATGAAAAAATTCTGTGGAAAATGTATCTTTTGCCTTTTGAGATAAGGGTGAAAAGATGGGCACGTATAAAGTGAATCATTTATAGACAATGGTGGCTATTTGGGATGATACTGTTGTCGTTTGCCTTCGAGTGGATTCCGAGTCATAGAGACCCTATAGGACAGAGTAGAACTGACCCATAGTGTTTCCTAGGCTGTAATCTTTACAGGAGCAAATTGCTAGGTCTTTTCTCCCACGGAGAGGCAGGTTGAGTTCAGCCCACTGACCTTTCTTTCGGTTAGCAGCTGAGTGCTTAACCATTGGGCCACCAGGACTCCTTTGGGATATTAGCATTTAAAATTGTATGCAGAATTAGATTACTTCTTTAGATTAGGCAACACTTGTTCAAGTTCCATAAGACACCTTCTCATGGCTAGGAAAACAGTGCAAGGGAGTAAGTGTGTATATCTGTATGTTAGTGAGTATGTGCAAGTAGAATTGAAAGAGATGCACTTTCAGCCAAACAAAGTGAGCTGAAAATAAAAATTAAATTATGCTGCGCATGTGTCAGAGAAAACTGCTACTCTCACTACGACACAAACGCTCCAGAGCAAGTAGGGGAAAAACCTATAGTCTGCTAACATTAGGAAAAACAAGTCTACTACTATTCTGCATTTGTTTTCTTTCTCACAATAAGTTACAACAAAAAAAATTCTTAGAAAACCAAACAAGTAGAGTAGCAATTCCAGTAATTTAAGAGTAATATACTTGTTAGATTTGCCTGAAGAGACACAAAAGCTTTCCCAAACTTCAAAGGACACTTTCCTTTTTGGGGGGCGGGGGGAGGGGTGTCAAACTCCTGCATGGCTTAAAGGCTAATGACATAAATGCTTTATTTTAAAGTTTCATAAAACTTGTCCCTTCTTCATAATGAAAAGCCTAGTTTCTGTTTTGTCCAGTCAGAAGCAGCAGCCTTTATTTTTGTTAGATGTTTTTGTCCTTGGAAGCAATGCCCCCTGCTGTAACATACGTTTAATGGCAGAAGGATCTGATTTGCTCTCAAATGAAAAGTATAAGAAAAAGATACTATTAAAGTGAAAAAAGACTTTTTATTTTGAATAATATACATAACGTTCATTCCATTTGATATTCATAGTGCATAGATATATATGGAAGTATACAGGGAAAAAAAATAAACATAAGAAATGGTTAAGTATAGAAGTATACAGGTGAAGAGGACAGTCAGCATACACATGAACAGGCTTAGAAGTGTAGGCTAGGGCAGTATCTGTCAGGAGAGAACACAAAACATGCAAAACGCTCTCTCCGAACCACGGCAGGCAAGCGCACTCAGTACATGACACGGTTTCCTGGGTACAAAACTACACATGCTCTTTGGATTGAAAACATAATATAAACATAAAAAATCATTTATAGCGCAAAAAGTGTGGATTTTGCTATGCCACATGTGGTAATAAAATATTTAAGGCCACAGATGGAGGCTTGGAAAGAGAATACGGAGAGGTAGAGCAAATAAAAAAAAGAAATGCAATAAGGAAATGATACCTCTGCCTAAACCGGGCAATAGTGGCTGCACAGGCATTAAAATGAGCAGAGCTATACATCTTATGCTGCATTTCCATTTTCACTGTCAAAAGGAATTCACTGTGTTGTCACAAAGTGCAGTGAAGAAGATGAGGCAATGAATGCAGAGCCTTGCTGTATTGGCAAGTTTAATTTCCTTTTCACTTTACACATGAAGGAAAAAAGAGCAGGTATAGAACCAGAAATGATCATCTTCCCATTCATTATACCAACTTTTAAGTGCTTCACGTATACTGTGTTTGGCACAAGGGAGATGGGGCTATAAAGATTAGGTAATTAAAATCAAGCCTCCAACCCAAATACCTTACAGCTGGAGAGCTAAAGACAGATAAAATTCTTTGCCTTTGTTTTTAATCAAATGCATAAAACAAACAGACAAACAAACAAAAAAAACGGTTGCCATTGAGTCGACTCCGACTCATAGTGACCCTACATGCTTAAAACAGATTTTAAAAGTTGACATAAAAAATCGATAAAGAAAAATTGCAAAGAAAGATACTGAACAAAATCTCCTGGTTTCTTTTAGGTTTTTTTTTTTATTCCCCCTTTTATTTTTTTCAAATTGCATTTTACAGTAGATAGAAATACAGACCACTTGGGATAACTACGGCTCCATATTGCTTGGTGCTCTCCTAGGACATCATCTTCTTACACTCCACGGAACAGAAAACCATCCCTTCTACTGGCATGAACTTCTGCCCGATGAGACACTTGCTGCAGCAGGAGCACAGGAAGCACTCTGTGGAGGCGTGCCAGCTGAAACTGTTGTAGGTCACCCGCTGCACCTCCGGGTCAATGGCATTGTGGCATCCTTGGCAAACCTGTTAAGGAATAACGCAAACAAGAACTGAGGATGAGCGATCAAACTGCGATGTAAGATTTTCATTTTAGAACTGAACACATTTCTTCAGATGATAAATGAAACTGAGAAAGACAACCTCAAAAATATACAACTGAGAGAACCCTTCTGGTTAACCTTTTAAGCCAACAACTATTAATGGAGGTTTATACACTGAGCTACCACTTGCCTGTCAGTTTGTTATACTGTGGTAGCCTGCATGTTGCTATGGTGCTGGAAGAATACTGAATATACCACGGACTGCCAAAAGAATGAACAAATCTGTCTTGGAAGAAGTACAACCAGAATGCTCCTTAGAAGCAAGGATGGCGAGATTACATCTTACATACTTTGGACATGTTGTCAGAAGAGATCAGTCTCTGGAGAAGGACATTATGCTTGGTAAAGTAGAGGGTCAGCAAAAAAGAGGAAGACCCTTAATGAGATGGATTGACACAGTGGCTGCAACAATGGGCTCAAGCATAACGATTGTGAGCACGGCGCAGGACCGGGCCGTGTTTCGTTCTGTGGTATACAGGGTCGCTATGAGTTGGAAGTGACTCAACGGCACCTAACAACAACAACATGGTGCTGGAAGCTATGCCACTGGTATTTCAAATACTAGCAGAGTCACCCATGGTGGACAGGTTTCAGCAGAGCTTCCAGACTAAGACTAGAAGAAGGTGATCAGGCAATCTACTTCCAAAAATCAGTCAATGAAAACACTATGGTTTACAACAGAATATTGTCTGATATAATGCTGGAAGATGAGCACCCTAGGTTGGAAGGCACTCAAAATGTACACAGTGGCTGCAACAATGGTCTTAGTATTACCAATGATGGTGAGCATGGCACAGGATCAGGGAACATTTTGTTCTCTTGTACAGTGTCGCCACGAGTCAGAGCCAACTCAGCGTCAACTGACAACATCAATATGTACTGAGCACTGTGAAAAACGGGAAGGCCCCTTAAACCCACTGCTGCTGAGTCAATTCCGACCTATAGCGACCCTACAGAACAGAGCAGAACTGCCCCACAGGGTTTCCAAGACTGTAATCTTTACAGGAACAGACTGCCACATCTTTTTCCTGAGGAGCGGCTGGTAAGTTCAAGCCGCCAACCTTTTGGTTAGCAACCGAGCACTCTAACCACTGTACCACCAGGGCTCCTTAAGGTCCTTCTGAATTGATGCTTGTAAGATATCTACCCAGGTATTCAAGGTAGAAAGTCTTGACAGCAAGTTCCAAAATAGTGCGTTTGGTTCCAGCATATTCTATTAGATTGTATATTAATAATTACAAAAGTAGTATATAAAATGATTTTTCCTCACTCATTAAAGCACTGTAGTAATTCCACCAGTCTCACCTATAACACATGAGATTATTAACACCATTAATTTCTAGATAGTAATAAATGAATTATGTTCAAAGTAATTAAGGACTCAATTAAAAATACTGACAGTGTTTGAGAATAATTAGTTTGCACTAAAAATATAACTTGTAGTTAATTGGCTTCTGTTCTGAAGGAATAAGATTAGTCATAATTGACGTAAAATCTAATATCATAGGACATCACTATTTACGTTCCCTATACCATTCAGTGTTTATTATATGTTATCTATAATATATATATGCAAATATATTTGTATATATGTAAATATATATATTTGTAGATAACAAATATAATATATAATACAACAATAATATACACATACCCAAACACACACGCATATATACACACTCCTCCCACCCCCCATGCACATCCACACACACACGTACACAAACATCATTTTCTTCTTAGCTGTATATGTATATGAAGAAAATAAATGAATATGCCATTATAGCAGAAAACTAACCAAGCTGAGACCTCCGAAACACTGGGTAGGTAGTCCATATGCCATTTTGTTTACACACGTTCTGAATGGATATGACTAGCTAAAGTTTCGTTTTAAATTTTGTAACAAGTGAAGAAACCAACAAGATTGTCATGATTAGATGACAGTGACTAACCTTCACCATCCTTGGTCCCTTATTGTGATTGCCAGGAATTACTGAGAGATGAGGGTTAGGAATGGGTGGGTTGAGAGTCATTTAGCTCCAGCCTCCCTACTTGAAAAAGACCTCAAAATGTGGCTGCTACTCAGGGGGAAAATGAGTTCAGGCAGTAAAGTGAAGTCTTGTTACAAATATCCACTTCAGGCCTATAATATACCCTCCGTATTTTCTAAGAGCCATATTACTTCTAATCTCTACAGAGACTGTAGCTGCTTAATCCACGCATTATATCAACCCAGTCTTCCCTGAAAAGCAAGTGAGATATTCTGTTTGTTTGATCGCTGTCATGGATTGAATTGTATCTCCCCAAAATATGTGTTGTAAATCCTAACCCCTACACCTGTGGTTATAATCTCATTTGGGAAAGGGTTTTGTTATGTAATTGAGGCAGTATTAGTGTAGGGTGTGGCTTAAATCAACCTGTTTTGAGATATAGAAGAGTAGGTTAAGCAAGCAAGCATGCACAAACTGTGAGGCAGATACATGTCACATGATTGCCAAGGACCCTAGGAATAGAAGCTGAAGAGATAAGGACCTTACCCTAGGGCCCACAGACAGAAAGCCTTCCTCTAGAGCCAGTGCCCTGAATTCAGACTTCTGGCTTCCTAAACTGTGATAAAATAAAGTTCATTAAAGCTACCTACTTGGGGTATTTCTGTTACAGCAGCACTAGATAACTAAAACAATCATCACCGATACACTAGAACTCTATAAAGATATAATTTCATTCCTTAGCCAGGGTCTCCTCTACCTGTTAGCTCAGGGGGACCTTTAATAAGTACATGTCTTCCTACATATAAAGAAGCAAAAGTCTATCTTTTTAATACCCCTGGCTTATAAGGAGCCCTGGTGGTGCAGTGGTTAAGCACTCGGCTGCTAGATGAAAGGTTGGTGGTTCAAGCCCACCAGCTGCTCTGCAGGAGAAAGATGTGGAAGTCTGCTTCCGTAAAGATTACAGCCTTGGAAACCCTATGGGGCAGTTCTACTCTGTCCTATAAGGTTGCTATGAGTCGGGATTGACTCAATGGCAACGGGTTATAAGCCTTACCATATATGGTCAGCTATGTTTTTACCTACCTTTATCAAAATTACCTATCTCTTAGCCATCACGCAATAGAAGCTGTGTGTAGGCAGGGCAGAACCAAGAAAAAATAAGTACACATTAAGTACTTGCACGTTTGGTCCACTCAAATAAATCTAAGTATGCAGGTCAATTTTTGTTACAATAAAATCAATTCAATAAAGGTTTAAAAAACAGGTACTGTACTATCTCAAGGTAGCAAAAAGAAAGTCTCAGGGGGTGGTCCAATAACATGAGCAGAAGCCATGAATACTCATAGCAACCTTATAGGACAGACTAGAACTGGGACAGAGTAGAACTGCCCCATATAGTTCCCAAGGCTGTAATCTTTACGGAAGCAGACTGCCACATCTTTCTCCTGCAGAGCAGCTGGTGGGCTCGAACCACCAACCTTTCATCTAGCAGCCGAGTGCTTAACTACTGCACCACCAGGGCTCCTTATAAGCCAGGGGTATTAAAAAGATAGACTTTTGCTTCTTTATATGTAGGAAGACATATATTCATATTTTCTAGATTATGAAAAACTCATAAAAACCCTTATTTTGATAGAATCAGATCTGTACCCGCGAGAATAAATCAACGAATCTCATTCCCACGACGGACTTTGTTTTTTTAAGCGAGGATTTTATTATCAAACGGCACTAATAATCCATAGTATAAACTACACAGATAGGAATCTTTAAGTGGCTTGTAGTCAATGAATGTACTATTTTCGAATTGCCTGGACTTTTAACATCCTCTTGGTAGGAATCACATGCTTACTATTTGAGAGTATTGCTTTCTGTTTCCCATTTGATGGGATGCTTCAACAGAGGCATAAACTCAAGTCATAAGACAGATGGGGGTAACAATGGAATCTCACCACGGCATGATTCTTCACATAGCAGGGCTTGCACACGGGCTTGTCATTGACCATCACGTATATTTCCCCAGCTAGGATGTTGTCACAGTCAAAGCAGCAGAAGTGTTTCAGATGCCAATTTTGGTTTTCGGCCTGGGTATATTCATTGCTGAATATGAGCTAGGAAGAGGATAAAAATAGGATGAACCATTTTCCTTTGGGCTCTAAATGACAAAGCAAGGTTCTTTAGGCAGTAAGGGATTTAAACTCACAAGAATATCAACATACTTTCTTGGGGTTTGAAGTTTGAAAATGACAACCTGAAGTTCAAACTTCGGTAATGATTTAGCTTAGTACAAATCAATCTTTTGTGTTTCTGGACAGTCTCTTTATAGTCAACATAACACTGACACTCAGAACAGATTAAATTAAAAGTTCCTTTCATTAAACTTCCTTGGATGTAAATAAAGCAACCGATGTTTGGCCAACTCATGTTGCCTTCTTTCTAAGGGTGGCCTGGTTATGACAGTAAGGGGACCATATGGTGGTACAGAAACGAGACTGCATGCAGGCAGTCCCAGAGAACATACCTCATCACAGCCAGCACAGCGGGGTTTCTCACTGTCACAATAATGTCTGCCACAGTACAGCTTCCCATTCTTCCAGAAATAGATCATGTCGACCAGGAGTTCGCTGCAGGCACTGCAGACAAAGCAAGCTGGGTGCCACAGTTTATCGTAGCCAGCCCTCTCGGCATAGATGGCCGGGTCACCTTCTTTCATACTCAGTTTGCAGCAATAGCAGAACTGAAAGGGAAGCCATCCAAAATCAGGTCCTCAGACAACTGGCATTTATCAGCTTTAGCAGGAATTCAGAGAAACAACTATCAAGAGCAATAATTTCCACTGCAATCAGTAATTTATCCATGAAGACAATAAAATGTTAATACATCTATAGAACGGAATCTCTTCGCTGTCTCCAGGCTATTCAAACCTAATTCAGTGCAAGAATTCAGCGTTGCTTCCTGAATTAAAGTCACCTATGGAAAAAGGTAAATAGTAATTTTCACCTCACTTCTAGGTGTTCTGTCAAAAATGATCACCTCAGAGCTTATTAATACTCTTCACAGGACTAAGCCTTATTGGTTGATGTGCTAACTGAACATATGAGAAAAACATTACAGTAAGCTTAGCACTGTTTTTGTTGTTGTTCAACTATGTCAATAGAAACTTGAAAAAAAAGAAAAAAATGATGGACTATATATATCCCCATTAATTTAAGGTTGAATTTTGGGCACAGTCTCCCAAGCAAAACTGAATTAATCTAAGCATATATTAATTTATGTGAAGAGATAAACAATTAACGCCAAAGTCAGATTTAGCAAACAGATTCTACGTTAGTATGTTGTATTCCAGCAGGATGTCAAATGCCAACTACTGTGTATACATAAACTCTCAATTATCCTTGGCAATAGATAATCATAAATCTTGGCTTTAGACAGAAGTTTAAACATGATGCTCTTTCAAACAAGCCTAAAATGAATTTTAATTCAATTTATTTATCTCAATTCCCTTTTGAAACAGAGGAATGCCCTCTCCCCCTAAAAAAAGGTTCAAAGAAAGGCAAAGAACCTATAAAAGTAAATAAATACATAAATAAAATATACAAATTGGGCAATGATGTGATGTCTCTTACTTACATACTGAGTTCTTTTGTGCTCAGCAGACTTGTCCTCCATGGCCCCCACTGCTGCTGTGGTGCTTCTATCCCCACCCGGGATGTACGTTCTGTTGGGGCCTTGAGCATCCATCTCTTGGGGAAGTTTGACATCTCCTACCCCCAGAGCCTCATTCTTATATTTCTTCACAAACTGCTCCATCTCCTTCACCTCTCTGGGAGTCAACTCGTGGCACTTTGAAGGGTCCTGATCATGCGCAGGGAGCTGCTTTGCCAGCTGCTTCTTCCGGTACTGTGCCCCTTCTGAGCCCGCCACAGGCTGTTTCTCCTTGGGCAGCATCTGCATGTACTGCCTGGCCTTGACCAGGGGAGACACATGTTAACATGGGAGATGCCTTGGCCATCAGACAGTTCAATACTTCACAACACACATCAGCACCAAGTTATTTAAAATGAAGCTGGTTTTATCCACTGTGACAATTACTCCTCATGATATAAATATCTTGAGATGTCAGCACATTCAAACATGGCATACTAAATAGATTTGGTTAAGTAAAAATGAACATAATCTGAAATTAAAGTTTTCAGATTGTAAAAAGATAAGGGTTACTATTGTGTACTTGCCCTAAATATACAAATGTAAAATTGCAAGAAAACACAAATTTCCAGGCATAAATGTCTAGAATGACTTTATGAATTGGCAGCATTTTCAGTAAAAACAGACTGATTGATCTGTCATCACAATATTCACTTTAATGATTTAACTAGCTTCTTTAACAGACTTCCAGAGGCCCCATCTAGTTGTTATAGTCATGGGAGCAACTTGACATAAAACTGCACTTCTTTGTCTTATACAGTAAGATAAACATAGTGCTGAACATTTTTTCACTTTTAAACAATGGCAGAAATTGTATTCTCTACCATCTTATTAAGATAAACCTTCTCAAAAGTAACTTAGAAGAGTTGCCAGATTTATGCAAAACATTCGTTTTCATCTATTTTTACGAGTGTGAAACCACACCCTCAAAGAGGTAAACATAATCTAGTTAGTCAGGAAAATTCTATGAGCTGTCTATTCTTACTCTCAGAAGACTGTAATAGGAGTTGGAAGTCAAAGTAATGGGAGCCCCAGAAAAATAATAGACTTGGGGTGTGTGTGAAATTGTTTAGGTCACTAAAAGAATTGCCTTAAATAAGTAGTTCAGGAACTTTAATAAAGGGACCCTCTCCCCGCTTACTTACCAGTGCCTGATTCTGGACAGGAGGAGCCCATTCATAAGTAACTGTGTTGATGGAGATATTCTTCTTAGTAGCAACTGGATTGGTCAATATCATAACATTGCGTTTGTACATGGGAATTCCATCAGATTTTAACTTTGCGATCAGGGTGGTATACTTGGTGTCTTCAAAAAGTTTTCCCACTTTTCGATCCTCTTCATTGCTCAAGAGGACATCATGCTCTTCTTGGCCACACTTGCAGTTACGACATATTTTTCTATAATTTTGGAGATAAATAGGCAATGATTAATTATATCTAGTCAATAATAAAGTCTGTACCTTTATGGAAACCCTGGTGGCAGTGGTTAAGTGCTATGGCTGCTAACCAAAAGGTCAGGAGTTTGAATCCACCAGGCGCTCCTTGGAAACTCTATGGGGCAGTCCTACTCTGTCCTACAGGGTCACTATGAGTCAGAATCGACTTGATCGCAAGGGGTAAATGGGTACCTTTATAGTTCATAAAACACTTTTTTACATATGTTCTATATAATGGTATGCATAAGCAAGTACTGTTTTGGATACTAAGTAGCTATCCAGAAATTTAAGCAAGAAGGAAACACAAAAATTTATCTTAAGTTTATAAGATTTTTAAAAAGTTAGATTGTGATTAAAAAGGGGGCATGTCTGAGAGTAATCCCACCTGACACCCCCACTCTCCCATAAAAAATATAAATCACAAGAAAAAAACAAAAACTATTAGAGCAAGAGACTGCACATTGTACTGCATGATAACATTTCATAGCCATTACCTAAGGTTGTTTTTTTTTTTTTTTTTTTTTTTGCAGGAGGTAGGGAGACGGATTAATCTTTTCCAGTTACAGACTAAAAGTCTAGATGTGATTTTATAGCCTTCCCCATTTCCTTTTCTTTCTTCTCCTTTCTCCTTCTTTCCCTCCCTTCCTTCCTTTTATTTTTTTAAATATTTATTGACTACCTACCGTGTGCTCTGTTATGTATAAAAAGACAGATATATAAAAGTCTCCGTCCTTATGGTGTTTCTTATAATTCAAGGATACCATCCCCTTCCCCAGCTGACACAGTCAAGTAAGGAAACAGTCCTTACATAAAATATAAAATTTAAAAAGAATAAAAGAAAAAGAAAATCAGGGCCTTCCACTCATTAAAAGACATATAAAAAGAGTGAAAAGCAAACTACCAACTCAGAAAATATTTGCAAAACATAAAGCTAACAAATGATTAGAAAAGTATACATAAAGAAATAATATAAAGATAAAAAGCTTGAAACTATATTTCATAAAAGATGAAACATATATAGCCAAACATCCTTAGAAAATTTTTTTTTCTTTTTTTAATTGTTGTGCTTTAAGTGAAAGTTTACAATTCAAGTTAGTCTCTCATATAAAAATTTATGCATACATTGTTATGTGACCCTAGTTGCTCTCCCTGTACTGTGACAGCACACTCTTCTTTTCCACCCCTGATTTCCCATTATCTATTCAACCAGCTCCTGACCCTCTCTGCCTTCTCATCTTGCCTCTGGACAGGAGCTGCCCATTTAGTCTCATGTATCTACTTGAGCTAAGAAACACACCCTTCATGAGTATCATTTTATGTCCCATAGTCCAGTCTAATGTTTGAAGAATTGACCTCGGGAACGTTTTTAGTTTTGGGCTAACAGAGAGCCTGAGGGCCATGTCTTCCAGAGTCCCTCCAGTCTCAATCAAACCATTAAGTCTGGTCTTTTTACTAGAATTTGAGTTCTGCACCCTACTTTTCTTATGGTCCGTCAGGAACTCTGTTGTGTTCCTTCTCAGGGTAGTCATTAGTGGTAGCCAGGCACATCTAGTTCTTCTGGTCTC